CCTGTTATGTGGTTCAGGAGGGGCTGGGAGAAGGTGACACGTAACCCTGGTACTGCTGTGAGAGGGGACTTGGGTCAATTCAATTTATAATTTATGTGTCTGTTTAGATTTTAGGTTGATGGCCACCCTAAATGATCAGTATATTCATGAGGCTTTCTACAAGGCATAGTGTTTCACTATCAGAATGAATTCCCTCTATGTGGTATTCAGAGCCACTGTTTAGGAGAAATGGGGTTTTAAAGAGGAGCTTCTTGACTGACATGCTGCCTTGTTATTTTTAACCCAGTAATAGGCGTGGCAGTGCTGCTGAATTTTCAGTCTTTCACCTCATGACCAGGATTTTGGAAGCTACTAACAGTTTGTTTTTACCTCTGCCTCCTGGTAAGTTTTGGTTCTTTTGGGGTAATAAATTTGTTCTTTCTTTTGCACATGGTCTCGAGATCTTGGCACATCATGAGTTTAATAATGACACTAGGGTGTGAGAAATTGTGTGTCTAGTGTCATTGTGAGAGTTGGGCCCTGTGGTTGACCTCTGCTTATCATATCTCCCCGACTAATAAACTGTTATGTAGCTTCTTACTAACTTTAGGGAGCATAGGCTGGTCCCCACGCAACTTTCTAGAATAATTTGAACCAGTGGAGCTGACTCAGGGAGTTCTTTCTCTGATGTCTTCATTCCTAGTTTATCTGATTAAGATATACGAAGGTTAACACTCGAAGGAAATGGGTCTGGTTTGTTGCCAGGGATTGAGCTTTTTCTCATGTACGGTGAAGCTAAATATTGCCCTTAGGATTTTGAAACAAGACCAAGTCAGTCCTCAAAACACCACTGAGACATATGTATGCAGTCATTTGTTTAATTAGTCACTTGCTTATTTAGTCACATCTATTGAGCAGCTACTACCTGTCAGGCAATGTGCTCAAAATAAGAGCAATTACAATGATTAGTAAGAGCTGAGTTGGAAAGATATGTATAGAAATCACTATCCATTATAAAAAATAAGCTCCTACTTGTTATGAGCGGCCTGCCTTACATTTGTCACATATAAGATCCCATTTAAAAAATGTGGCAAGAACACTTCAGCAATGTTTAAGTAGATCATGAAATCTACCCTCTCAACAAATGTTTAAGTGCAGAATACAATATTGTGAATTATAGGTATAGCAGATACCTAGAATCTATTCATCTTATATAACTGAAGCCTTTTTTTTTTTTTTGAGAGGTTTTCACTATAGTGTGCGTGCACTCGCCAGACAGACAGAGAGAGACATAGAGACAGAAAGCGAGAAATCACCTCCCAGAGGGGATGGTCACGCCGCAATCCCTTCTCCTCCATTCTCCTCTCAGGATCTTGGGCACGCATGCACACGCACCCGGCGTGAGTTTTAAGCCACCGGGTTCGGGACGTGAACCGCGGTCAACTACGTGGGAGTCCAGCGACATAGCCATTACGCTAACTGCTGGTTCCCTATAACTGAAGCTTTATACCTGTTGAACAGAAGTTCCCCTTTTCTCTATCCTCTAGTAACCACTATTCTTTTTGTTTCTATGAGTTTGACTATTTTAGATACCTCATTATGTGTGGAATCATGTAGTATTTGTCCTCCTGTGATTGGTTTATTTCACCTAGCAAAATGCCCTATAGGTTCATCCATGTTAATACATACAGCAGGATTTTTTCCAGTTTCCCATGGAAGTCTGAAGTCTCTTTGTAGAAACTGTTCCCTTCTGATCCAGGTTTCTTTTCCCTTCAGCAAAATCGTCTCCACCCCCATAACCCTTTAACCTGGGCATATGGACTTTATCGAGCTCTTCTCTTCTCTCTTGCTTTCTTCTACAGAGTTACAGGCATATGAAACTCTAGAGCCATTTTCCATTGAACAAGCTTTGCCCTCTTTTTGCTTGGGAAGGGATGCAAGAGGAAGGGAATGTATACTAGGAAACCTACCAGAGGCCTGGCCTGATACTTAGTTGTGAAGGACAAAGAAGGAAAGTTGGCCCGTGTTTTTAAGAAATTTACATGACTCCAGGTGCCAAGCACTGGGCTGGGTGTTTCATTAACTGGATCCAATTCATTCCCTCTGGGATGCTGGAGATGGTGGCTGTGTTTACCCTCCTGGATCTCTCATCCTAGGTTTTCATACACTGCACACAATCCTTGGGGTCCACTGTCTCCCTTTGCATAACCTGCTGCATTACATCGATAATGGAGTGTTGCTTCTCACCGAAACTGCTGTCACAAGGCTTATGAAAGGTAAGAGGCTCTGGGCTGCCACAGTGCTAGTGCCAGCCTGAGCACCACTAGGGCTGGCTCCCTGGGTGTGCGACCTCTGCATCCACACAGGGCCTGGTGCACTCAGAAAGGTCCCACGCTTGGCTGAGTACTCTGCATTAAATCTTGAAATTAAAGAAGTTTAAAGCTTATTTCTTTCATGAGAAAGAAACATACACACACACACACACACACACACATACACACAGGCATCCCCAATAGGGTACTCATGCCACGACTCATCCCCAACTTCAGCCAGCCAGGACTATGGGCTCGTGTGTGTCCAGTGTGTTCAGGGAGACCCTGGGAGAGGAACCACATGAGGCTTCCCATGTGGCCTCAGCATTGTGGAGGACTGTGTCACTATTGCACCACTGTGGCTCTCCACATTTTGAAATGTTTAGTAATAGTTGAACAAGAGCCTTCTCATTTTCATCTTGCACTGGATCTCACAATTGATGCAGCTGGTCCTGTTGAGTATAGTCCATTTCCTGTAACCATCCTTTGGACCAACTTAAAGTGCCTTAGTACTTAAAGAGGCCCCAGGGGACTTTTTAGTGTACCCACAGCCATTAGGTTCATTTTCTGTACACAAGGGTACTTGAGGATAGAAGATTCTCTAAGCTTGTTTCTCAAAAAAGAGTCATAAAATGGCTTAATTTCTGGGAAATGGCTTTCTGTTGATTAACTCTGTCATCTCAAGGTTAGGCTTGAAGTGCACTGCTTATATACATCTGAATTTTAAATAAGGTCTGTAGTATAGTGCTAACTTAAATTATTTAACTGTATTATTTTAATAGATGAGTTTTGTTAATATATAGTAAAGCATTGGCATTACTTGAAGTACCTTCTGTTTTAAGTTAGTAAAATTGCTTTGTGACTGCCAGCCTGTTACAGAAAAATCTTTAATTTAATTTATTTTTTAGAGAGATTTTTGCTAAAGGGTGCATATGTCTGAGTGACAGAGAAAGACAGGGGAGAGAAAGTAAGAAATTAACCCCTGGGGAGATTGCCACACTGCAGTCCCTTCTCTTTCATTCTCCTCCTTGGATGTTGGGCACACGTGCATACGTGCCTGGTGTGAGTTCAAGCTGCTTGGTCTTGGACTTGAACTGCAGTTGGTTATGTGAAAATCCAGGGCCGTAACCATTATGACACCTGCTGGCCACAAAAAATTCTTTTATTCAGAGTCACAAAGTAAAAATTTCAAGGTGTATTAGAGTAGCTTGAGAATATGAGGTTGGGACATGTATTGCCGGGATAGACTCGTCTAAGTATTCATAACTTGCAGAGTATTAAAATGGATATTTCTGCTTTGCCAATCCCTAACTTTCTTGTAGATCTGGACAATACAGAGAAAAATGAAAAACTAAAATTTAGCATCATTGTGCGGCTTCCTCCGGTAATCCTAAAATAGATTTTATTTTCTCCCTGGGTTTTGGCATGACTCTCCTTCGATTTCTTCTTAAAAGAAGAGCATTTGCTTGCTTTGGGATAAAGTCAATGGAATTGCTTCACTTTTCAGCTTTCCAAGAAACCCCATCCTTCCCCACCCCTCTGTCTGCTGTTCCCTGCTGGGCCTACACAGAGCTTGCTCCTCTGGCTTCGTCCTGCCTTGACACAGGTAGCTGAGCACAATTACTGAGCACACTTACCCGCTTTCTTCTCTCAGGAAACCACAGTAATATTTACATCTGAGTCTGAGGCGGGGGTGGTGGGGGGGAAAGGGGAAACATGTGCTTTTGGCATTTTAACTGATAAGAAATGTAAAGGCAGGTGAGGTCAGAAGGTTTTGGAACTGCATTTCCCTCTACTGAATTTCTACCACAGCAGGAAAATATTCCGAGGTCAAAGGAAGAATGACAAATATGAGGAAAAGAGTTATAAAGACACTCCCTGTGGGTGTTTTTTTTTTTTTTTTTTTAATTTTAGCTATTAGCTTTTCTGAGTTGGAAATACTGTGAAAAAATGAAATTGCACAGCAAGGATTTTTCTCTGACTGCAAACTTCCTGACCCTATGAGGCTAACTGTGTCTGCTGTTTACGTACCTCGAGCTCTGGCAACTTTTACATTGTCTTCCTACAAAGAGGATGTCCATTGCCTTTCTGGACGTAATGGGCTTGCTTTCAACAGCCCCAACCTCTTGCTTACTCAAGTAGAAGCAGGAAGAGAAAACAGCATATTTTCCATGGCTAGATCTCTCTGGGGAATGTTTCTGAACATTTGGCTTTCTCTCCAGATTTGACCCCACACATACACACTCTTAGGGAATTTAATTTTCCTAGGCAAGACAATGACAGAGAAGTTGATAAAAAGTCATTATCTACAACCTTCAGTTTCCTCTCAAAACCTCACTTAAAGTTGCCATGCCCAAATCTAGTTTTGCAGAGTAAACTCCATTTTAGAGAAAAAATTGGTAACATCGTTGTATAAACTACATTCCTTAAGGTAGCTTTGGAGGGAGTGTTTATTCAAAATGCTGAGGCATACCTCAAAAGAACATGGCCTTTCTCTAAGAGGCATTTATCATGAAGGGCCTGCTGTTCAGGCTAACTAGCTACTTTAAGATACTTGTTTTGCTATAGGGCATACATGCTCACCAGAGAGAGAAACAGAGAGAGAGGGAATGTGAGAAAGCACCCCTTGTTGGGGGGATGGCCATGAATTCCTTCTTCTCTACACTGACGTTTTTCAGCTGCTGGTCCAGGACTTGAACTGCGCTCTCAGCTATGTGGGACCCAGCCACCTTAACCACCATGACATTTGCTGGCCCCTGGAATACCAGAATACTACTTCTAAAATTTGTGTGTGTGTGTGTGTGTGTGTGTGTGTGTGTGTGTAAAACGTGACTGGATTCCCACATGGCCAACCACGGTTTGAGTCTTGAAACTGGTGGGTTCAAAATCATGCTGAGTGTGCGTGTGCCCAAGATCCGAGAATGGAGTAGAAGGGATTGCGGCATGGCCATCACCCCTGGGGGAGTGATTTCTCTCTTACCCTCTCTCTCTCTGGTGAGCGCACACATCCTATGGCAAAAACCTCTTAAAAAAAGAATATTTTTTTAATGAAGTGTGAGATATATTTTTCTGTACCTATTTTTCAATTTGTACAAAAGCTCATTGGTCAGAAGATCTGCCGACTTTGGGATCATCCTATGAGTTCTAACATCATTTCACGGAACCATGTGACGCGGCTGCTTCAGAACTACAAGAAACAGGTGAGAAAGCAGAGCTGACGAAATGTGTTTTACATTGGTGCTTGTTTGGGAGAAACAACTAATACCAGAGTGGTTTCCCTTTTAGACTCGGAATTCTATGATTGACAAGTCATCATTCAGTGTAGAATTTCTGCCTCTGAACTACTTCATTGAAATTCTGACAGATCTAGAATCCTCCAATAAAGGTAATTCACTCCTCTGTTCTTAGGGTTTTCCTGCTTTTCCCATGATACATTCATGCCCTATTTATTTGTATACTATTCTCTTTTCAAAATACTCCTTACTTAAACGTAGGTTCTTACGGCATTTTCTTTTCATTAGCAATACACAGCTTACTACCCAGAGTAAATTACCAATAGAATAATCACCTTTGAAGTTTTAAAAGGATTTAAAGGGGCTTCAAGTCCATTTGGTTGATGGAAATGCTCTTTCTTGGTGCTGAGGTTTAATAAATTTTAAGAATACATTCTCAGAATAATATGTTTTACTAAAATATAAAATAATTGTGATTTCAACAAGCTGTGGGCACAAGGTTAGAAATGTTCCATGACTCCATAGTAATCTTTTCTCTCTCTCTCTCTCTTTTTCTTTCCCAGCTCTGTATGCTTTTGACGGACATGACAATGTGGATGCAGAATTTGTAGAGGAGGCAGCTCTGAAACACACAACAATGCTTTTAGGCTTGTAGAAGAGAAAACATTGGATCCGATTCCAATGTTTTTAATGTTGCTCATTGGCTTTACTCCTGTCAAGAATCCTTTAGCAAAATTTAAAATTGGTAACAAACATCTAAATATATCATTGAGTCATCTGAATTTCAGTTTGGTGTTCATTAAGAGAGAGCTAAACTAACATACCTCATTCTAATTTTGAACAGCCAAACCACCCAAATGTAGAGAAGTAATAAACAGCCCAAGAAGGCAAACAGTTGCATACGTGATGCCCTTCCAAGGGTCTCATACTCCTAGTAGCTTAACAAGCCAAAAGCTAGCTTCTGTTTTACTCTAAAATAAGATTTGTTTTAAAAACATAGGAAACGGTGCTTGAAAAGCAACCACTAGATGTCCCATTGAAAATAACATAACAAGCAGAAAAACTGGATGTTGCATAAGAATTCTATTTGGAAAGAGGATACTTTTTAAAAAATTGACTTTGGACTATATCAAGTCTGTTATATCCAATACAAAATAATTTGTAATATACAATGATTTGTACCTATAGTATTTAGAGTGAGGTTTATCTTTGTGATAGTCCAAATGGAACTGTATTTAATTTTTTATATTTATAAAGTTCGATTTAATAATATACTATCATTAAAAAAATGAGACATTGAAAATTTTGGCCTGACTCCCTATTTGTTGAATATTAGCCCTGTATTTGAGCCAGGACTCATGAATCCATGAACATATTTCTCCAAAGGCATCGGGACACCTAATTCTACCATTTTTCTCCGCCCCCCCTCCCTTCTGCAGTGACTTCATTCTGACCATTAATACAGTTGCTGTCAGGGGTCAGCCCATAACCCTTTGTCTCTTTTTATACCATTTTCCTTAGTTAACTTAATACAGTTATTCATTTCTTAACAATGGGGATATATTCTGAGAAATATGTTGTTAGACAATTTCACCAGTACACAAACATCATAGAGGGTACTTAGACAAACCAAGATGGTATGCCTGCTACACATAGGCTTTATGGTATAGCCTACTGTATTATAATCTTATGGGACCACTGTCATCTGTCATTAATAGAAAAGTCATATGCCATACATGACTGTATCATCAGCTGGTATAAAATTCAACTTTTTTTTTTTAATCTTGCTTATTATTATTTTTTAATTTACTATAGGGCACATGTGCAGGCCGGAGAGACACAGCAAGAAAGAGAGGGAAAGTGAGGAAGCAAGCTGCCAGGTTTGGGACTTGAACCACAGTTGGCCATGTGGAAGTCCAGTGCCTTAACCACCATGGCACATGCTAGCCCCAATTCAACTTATTTTCTAAAGTCATCATTGTGCCATAAAATGATCTTCTATAGAATGTCCCTTAAAACATTTTATTATATACCATGAGCACAAGAGAGAGAGAGGCAGACAGACTAGACCCTCCACAGAGTCTGGTCACACCACAGTCCCCTTTCTACAGTCCTCAAGCCTGTCAAATCCTGGGCACTTTTTCTTGCGATGGCACATTTTAGGCAGGCCATGCCAGGGATTTGAACCATGATCACTATGTGGGATCCAGTTTCTTTTGAGTTACGCATTACCACCGCACCATGAAGTCAGCCCACATTTCCCTTTTCGGTCAAATACCTCACAGTCACCCAGACTCAAAATCTTCAAGCCAAATCAGCAATTACTGTTGATTCTTTCTTTTGATAAAGTCATTGTCTTTCATTCTTTGCTTTCATCCACTTATTTTCACACAAGATTTTTTGAGTTACTTAAGGTCTAATTTATCCTTTACATACTTGAGATAAACTGTAGTACAATCCTTCAATAACTTGCCATGCATGACTGGGTAAAATTCAAGGTCTTTCAAATCCTGGTTTTATACAATACGAATATTTTATTCTGACTAGGCCAATTCACTCGACCTTGAACACAACTTTTGGCTTGCTTTCAAGTCTTTTTTTGGTTATTTCCTCCATCTGAGATCCTTCTCTACTTGTTAAGATCTTATTCATGCTTAAGAATCAGATAAAAAGGTCCAACTAATTATGATTAAGGCCATTCCAGCATGTAGTGGTACCTTCTTCCTATGAACCAGTATCATTTGTTGTAATATTTAAGCATCCATCCCTTTGTGATTTTTAAAAATGATTTTCTTATTCTTTTTTTTTTTGAGAGATTTTTCGCTATAGGGTGCATGCGCTCGCCAGACAGACAGACAGAGACATAGAGACAGAAAGCGAGAAATCACCCCCCAGGGGGGATGGTCACGCCGCAATCCCTTCTCTCCATTCTCCTCTCGGGATCTTGGGCACACACGCACACGCGCCCGGCATGAATTTTAAGCCACCGGGTCTGGGACGCGAACCACGGTCGACTACGTGGGAGTCCAGCGACATAGCCATTACGCTAACTGCTAGTTCCCATGATTTTCTTATTCTTATACTGTTTAAACTTTGTGTATTTTTAATTTTTTTATTTTAGAGCAAATATATTCTCTGGAGAGAGACAGAAAGGAAAACCACTCCCCACCAAGGGCCATGCTGCAATCCCTTCTCCTCCATTCTTCCCTTGGGATTTGGGCACTCATGGCTGGTGTGATTGTCAAGCCTCTGGGTCTATGACTCAAACCACAGAGTTGGCCATGTGGAATCTAGTTGTGTTAACCTCCATGCTAACTGCTGGCCCCCATGTATATTTTTTGAATCCCTACAGAGATTACTAATTCCTACAACCCAAGAATTTTTTTCTTTCATTTATTATTAGTTTTTTACATTTTCCCACAAACACTGTACATATCAAAAAAAAAAATTTTTTTTAACTCCATGGATCTTTTTTGCTATAGGGCGCATGCACTTACCAGAAAGACAGAGAGAGACAGAGAGAAAATGAGAAATCACCCCCAAGGAGGATGGCCACACTGCAATCTCTTCTCCTCCATTCTCCTCTCTGGATCTTGGACATGCACGCACATGTGCCCAGCGTGAATTTAAGCCACCGAGTGCGGGACTTGAACTGCTGCCGGCTACATGGAAGTTCAGCAACATAGCCATTATGCTAACTGCTGGTCCCTCCAACTCAATGGATCTTGACCATTAATAAACAACTTTCAAAATCACCAAAATTCAATTTTAAAGTTAACTTACGTTCTTCCTTTCTTTCTTCTTTCTTTTTTTTTGTTTTTGGAGAGATTTTGCTATAGGGAGTGTGCACTCACCAGAAAGACAGAGAGATAAAAAGTGAGAAATCACCTCCCAGGGGGGATGGCCACATCACAATCCCTTCTCCTCCATTCTCCTCTTGGAATCTTGGGCACTCATGCACATGCACCCAGCATAAGTTTAAGCCACCAGGTCTGGGACTCGAACTGTAGTCGACTACGTGGGAGTCCAGCAACGTAGCCATTACACCATCTGTTGGTCCCAAGGTAACTTTCAGAATATTTCTTATAATTTTGTTTGTGACTCTATAACAGTGTGGTTTTAAATATTTTTGAGAAAATAATTACATGTCAGTTACTCAAACTGTTGAGAAGCGAACACTCAGCACACAATTCACATACGAACCTTCCCAACTCAGTTCTGCCAACCAAGTATTCTGTGGTTTACCATCTGCCAGCAAAGATCAGTCTCTTTTTCATCCTTCAAAGTCTTCCTCAAGGTAATCCTCTGGTTGTGGCTGCTCTTTTGCAATCTCTACTGATTATAATGCTGGACTGGAAAAGTCCAGGTTATTTTATGATACAAATTATTTCGTATGGCTTCTCTAATCCTCTCTGCAGGCATAACTTTTTATGATGTCATGCAATCTTTCCAAGAGCTTCTGTTGGCTTTCTTGAGATCTCCCTTAGTTCTATAGTTTTCTGGTCATACCTTCAGATCTGACATTCCAGTCAAAGCCCTGACAATAACAAGTTATCATCAATTTCTGATGCAAGACAACAGATATTATTGAACTTATGCAAATAACCTTTCTGCCACAAAGTAAGAATACTGACAAATATTTTTCCAATTCCATAGGGGTCAGGAGGGAGAAAAGTTTATTTCAATAAAAAAAATATTCAAGCAAAAAAATTTAACAAATTGTTTAACCTATCAACAGCTCAAAAGAAAGCAAAATCCTAGTGCTCGTCATCTGTGCAGCCAGGGCTTGGGGCTGCTCCACTAGGGACACTCCCATACCACCCCTTCGAGATCAGGATCAGCAGCACGAGTTTCTTATTGTTCTCCTTATCTAGCCTCAGGGATCACAACGGAATGGCAAAGAGATTCCAGATCACCTCTTTCTGCATGCTCCTCCTGAACATTCAGATTGAACTTCAAGAATTAGGAAGAAACACATCATTCTTCAGGTGACTAGAAATCACCACAGGACCACAAGAAACATGGGAAAGCAAGAAAATACCTCTCCTCTCAGGGAAAAGAATAATTCCTCTTTATCCACAGACAGTTCAATGGAAATGTCTGATAAAGAATTTAGAATATTCATAATGGCAAAGCTAACAGAGATGGAAGAGAGACAATGAACTACAGAAGAGAAAGGAGAAAGGAACTGACAAGTTCCAGGAGTGAGAAAATTCTTGCAAGATCTAAAAGAGGAATTACACACTTTAAGAAAGAATCAAACGGACCTGTTAGAGATGAAGGCTCTAATACAGGAAATTAAAATCTCCCTTGAAAGTATTAAAAGCAGATTAGATCATACAGAAAATAGAATCTCAGGCGTGGAAGAGAAAATTGCTGGCCTAGAAAAAACCACCATGAAGACTGAGAAAATTGCCCCCAAAAATGAGAATAACATATGAGAAATACTAGATACCATCAAACATCCAAACATCTAGATAATTGGTATCCCAGAAGGCGAAGAGATTTATAAGGGCATTGGTAATCTATTCCATGAAATCCTGCAAGAAAACTTTCCAAACCTAGAGAAGCACTCAAAGATCCAGTCCCAAGAAATACAAAGGACCCCAAATAGAATCAACTCAAGAAGATATCCAAGACATATTAGAGCTAGATTGACCAAAACCACAGACAAAGACAAGATAACTAAGATTGACAAGAGAAAAACATCTAGTTACCTACAAAAGATATCCCATCAGGCTAACAACAGACCTCTCATTGGAAATGCAAGCAAGGAAACAATGGGAAAATATATTCAAAGTGTTAAGGGAAAAGCAATTTCAACCAAGAATACTGTACCCAGCAAGATTATCCTTCATATGGGAAGAAAAGACAAAAACATTGTCACATAAAACCTGAAAGAATTTACCAGCACCAGACCAGATCTCCAAGAAGTTCTCAAGGGAGTGCTATATAAGGAAAATTAAATCCAAACACAGAAATGAGTTCAAAAACTAAAAAAATGGCCAACTTCATCATAGAGGCAAGTCTGTAGTTGAATATTATATCCCAGAATTTAATCGGGAAAATTGAATCACAACAGAAGATAGATTAAGTATATTTGAGACTGAACTAGTGAAATAGCATTTTATGACTTTTGACTAAAACATTGCTGATTTTCTTCTAGGCTTTGTTTTTCAGTTTTAAGGGATTTTTGTCCTGTCTTGAGCTGTCGATAGGCTTATGTACCTACTATTTGAACAGAATCCTAACCTGTTTCCTGGCTTTATGTTTTAAGCATAGTTCCTTAGGATTTCT